ACATAAACTGCATCGTCAAAGAAACGCAGGAGGCAATGCTAAGTAGTAGATGTACATCCAGGTGTGTTCTCCACTAATGCATTAAGACTAATTTACACAATCCACTCGAAAATCGACGATTGTTTCTACCTTCGGTTGTTAATGATTAGTGTATGCGGTTCAACTTCATTGGAGTCATTGCGTACTGTGAATGATACGGTGTGTGCAACTTTTGAGAAGCATGCAAGCAATTAAACTTGTTGGAACATGGTTATCACTTGAATCAAACGATGGACGATTCGATAGCTACAGCCATATCAGCATTCAAATCCGCGTCAAGTATGGGATACAAACAAAAATGGTATTCCGGAAGGCATTTTATATCGTATTCGCTAGGAATTGGAAATGGGCAAATTGCGGTTGATATTTCCAGTGGTTTGATATCAATTCCAACTGCCTCTTGTCAATTCACTTCAACGAAAATGAACTCTTTCACGAATGTTTATACAAACATTGGCCAAAATATCGTAACTACGATTGCCTGAGTGCACGCGCAAATTTAACCTTCAAAAATACTGATGTTAATGATTTAAACTGGAAGATTCAAAGTCAAATTCCGAGAGGTTTGCTCTCATACAATTCGATTGATCGTCTTGACAATGAAGACGAAGCCATGAATTCTGCAGTGGAATTTCTAAATTCTTTGGAGAGGCTTAGTATGCCACCCCAACATTAGCATCTCAAAGTTGGATATGTCATTATTGAAATATGAAATATAATAATTATTAATAACAAGTACCGGGAGGCAAAGGAGCTGGAATTTGACAAATATAAATTCGAAGAAGAAAAGAAAATTGGATATAATGTCAAACAAATTAGACATATAATTTAAAAAAAAATAGAAACTGATGAAAAATACAAGGTGTTAGAGTTATAAATGAAAGAAAGAGTGGCTTTGTACGTCACTTCTTATTTATTTATGATTTCTTTAGGTTTCGTATGTATGAACTTATATAAATAGTTATATCAAAAATAGAGTTGGTATACCTAATACCACTAAGTATAACATACTTATGTACATTCCTAGTTAACGTTTTATTGATCACCAAACAATGTTGTAATGACACAACTGATTCTTCGTCGCTATCGACAACTACATAGTATACATATATTGCCTACGTACTCAATATCGTTAGAAGTAGCTCGTAAGATGTTATGCAATATACATAGGCTGTTCACGATAAGGTGGTTATCGCGTTGTGTGGTTATGTGATTAAGTAAACAACAACAAAATGCGTTATGACAAAATAACCAACTTTGACCAACCCAGACCCTTGTTTACAGATTATGTGGTTGTTTGCTTATTTCCAGTGTTAGAAAGTCGTTGGAGTTTTACTAAATGGCAGCACAAAAAATAAATAAAACTAAGCGAATGGCATTTCCATTTATATTTTCTAATTGGAAATTCTGCTATTAACAGC